ACTAGGGATGCACCGATACCACTTTTTTAAGGCCGAGTACGAGTACCGATACTTTTTTCCAAGTACTCGCCGATACCAATTACCGATACTTTTTCTTAAAGGGACAGGTCACATTTTTTCTAAAGCAATACAAAATCATGATTTTAGGTCAGTTTCTTAATATTATGAAGAACATGAAATGAACATGAAATTAATATTTATCATGCCATTGCTAACTAAGGCTTGTATCAATCATAGTGGGGAAAATATATGAGCCCATGTCCAGACTCCAGATCAGTGTATTATTGTATAGTGTGGCACAGCTATAGCCAATTCTGCATACCTGGCTTTATATTATAAAGTTTTTTATAATATAAAGCCAGGTATGCAGAATTGGCTATAGCTGTGCCACACTATACAATAATACACTGATCTGGAGTCTGGACATGGGCTCATATATTTTCCCCACTATGATTGATACAAGCCTTAGTTAGCAATGGCATGATAAATATTAATTTCATGTTCATTTCATGTTCTTCATAATATTAAGAAACTGACCTAAAATCATGATTTTGTATTGCTTTAGAAAAAATGTGACCTGTCCCTTTAAGAAAAAGTATCGGTAATTGGTATCGGCGAGTACTTGAAAAAAAAGTATCGGTACTCGTACTCGGTCTTAAAAAAGTGGTATCGGAGCATCCCTACCAATTACCGATACTTTTCTTAAAGGGACATGTAACATTTTTCTCTAAAACAAGTTCTTCTGAAAATGCCTGGTATCGGCCCTGATACCGATACTAGTATCGGTATCGGGACATCCCTAATATATATATCATATACTGTATGTATATATTGGTGCTTACCAGTGCTTAGATGTTGTGGCTGCATTAGTTTTATTTTTTTTTCAGAGTAAGAACATTTCCAACTTGTACAGAAAATACCTATTGATCTTGCTAGAAATGCAGTTTACTTCTTGTGAGATGAATTGAAAGCAAAACAATGTTGTCTTCCTTCCAAGCTATCTTTCGTAAACTACTATATAACTACAATTCTCCTGCACTGCATGTAATGGAGATGAAGAGAGGTAGACGTGTTTGTAGTCCAAATTGGCGGAGGGATGCCAAGTGTGAAAGCCATGGCTCCCCTCACAGATACAGCACAAATGAACAGGAAGTGCGTTATTTGCAGGATTATTAGTTTAGGATTATTATTAGTATTATATAGTACATATCCAAGGACTGGAAAGTTGCAATGTAGACAGTTTATGTATTTGGGTTTAGATACGCTTTAACTGATGACGTGGCAAACCCACAGTTGTTACATGTAGATACTGTATGCTATGATAGAATTCACCCAAAACCATTATAGTTTCCCTTTGAGATATAAAGGATTGGACCATAAGGACTGACATGAGATTGTAGTGTAGAGTGATACCGAAATAAGATACAGCTTTGTTAATAGTTAAGGTAATTGAAAGCATTTTTAAGATTTAACTCCCAAGTTTAGGGTCACTGCGAAGTTCATTTTACAATGAGTTGTAAAGCTTTCAAGCTGCTTAATAGACAAAGAGCAATATGCACAATTTGCAGGGTTATTCACAAAAGGGTGAAGAGTTTGGAGAAGGCAGGAGAAGTGAACAATCTAGGCCAACATAGCTGAACTGGAAAGTTAGCTGAATTGGAGAATTTTTCCAAATCGGCTATTTTGTCCTAGATTGTTCACTTCTGCCTTGTCCAAACTCTTCACCCTTTAGTGAATAGACCTGTCAGTAATCACTATAAACTAGTCACAATTGTTCCTTATTATGATGGTTCTAACAGATAAAAAGGTGAATAGGGGACTCCTATTGGTCATGGCACTTTGGTGGTTGTGCACGGCCTTATTAAACACATGTGTTTATATATACAATATACTATGTTATTTTATTTTTTTTAAGTAATAAGATACTATGTTATTTTTAGGCATTATTTTCATTAGTACATATTTTTGTGGTTTGTGGTCACGGTAAACCAATAAACAGCAATATTGAGTTTTGCAATCTCAGGACCTGTGTACTATATGAACTTGTTTTCTTCTACGTTACTGTAAAATGAATACCAGATCGGGCAGAGGCTTCAGATTGGCCAATAGCAGTAAGTGACAGAGAAAAGATGAGCTAAAAAAAGTTCAGTTGCATGTGTTGTTCAGTAAACATATCTCTGTACTTACGGAAATGATGTGCCCTTTCAACCCGTGGGCAGAGTCAGCACATTCAATCACAGCACTTAACTGGGGGTAACCAACACCTGTTTTAATCCTGGTTGTACAAACAGATCCTGTGTAAGAAGAAGGTACATAAAGGAGAAGATTAGTTCTATGTTCTTCATAACAGGCAAAGCTTGCCCTGCTCAGCAATGTCTATGTCTGGCATGGTACCAATGCTCTAAACCTTCTCAGTTTATGACTATGTGCCACATTAAAATATAGCAGGAGGCAATTAACTACAATAAGCATAAGTGTACAAGTAATGCCCTTTTTCTTGCTTTTTCCCACATCATCTTCTCCCTCTCTCTCTCTTCTCCTGCTACATATGTGGCAATATCTGCTGTCTGTAGTGTGAAAGACAGTCATGAGGTCACACTGAGAAGGGTTGGATCTCTGTAAAATTCTCCTGCACCCACTGTCCATCTCCAGCAGCATCATTCCCAAGGCAAGTGTCTCTTCCCCAGTTGATGGAGTGGAAGAAAAAAAATTACCCAATTCACCCCAATGCCCAAAGTCTTAATGGCAATTTCGCAAAACTGCTGGTTTTGCAGCTGCTCCCATTCTGCTTGTGGAATCAGCCCCCTTCTGTAAGTGTATGGCCTGCTACATTGGCAGATCTGCCATTATTTTGCTCAGAAGGCCATTTCTGCCCTTCACCAGCATGTGGAATGTAATGTGTCTGTGTTGCTGGACCACGCTATCAGTGGCAGGGAACACATGACCATGGACATGAGTCCAGTAAGCATGGGCAGGGACAATACACATCCTTCATGGCACACTGGACCTATCTTCTGACAGCTGGAAAGGATGCAGGAAGGGCCGGGTGCTGCAGTTCATAATGAACTTAAGAGGCCTGTTGTCAGGCCAGAAGGGTTTGTGGCCACTTTAGACAAACATACCTGGCCAGTGTTCACCTGGCAGAAATTAAGTGCCTGCCAACTGCCTAATCTGTGACATCCCCACGCACTGCAATTCAATTTTGGCCATGCAGCAGAGTCTGCAGAGCTGGAGTTTATCAGTGGCCCATCATTCAGGACATATGCAGCATTTTGACTCCTTTTGAAGAGGCGACCAAAAATGTAACTCATGACGAGGTGGGCATTAGTGATGCAATCCCTTCAGTGTTCCTTCTGGAGAACACACTCCATGGCCTGATTTTTGGGCACTGGAGGCACAACAGCAGGTGGAAGAGGAGCACTTGCTGCTCTCTCAGAGCCATTGGGATGCTTTGCTTCCTGTTTCCAACCCTGTGAGGAGGAATATGAGAAGGAGGGTTGGGGTGCTACCAGTGAGGAGGATGAATGGAGAAGGCTTCAAGGGAAATGTTTTACCCCTCCCAACCCCAGAGAGTTCTATGCGTGTTGAGATCACTGGGTCCTCTGCTGCAGACAATTTGCAATGGTGAATGGCATCTTGGCAAATGGGTTTAAATGGCCAACCTATAAGATGTATGATACAAGGGTAAAATGGCCTCATCTACAGCCACCATCCCATAGGTAGCCAAAAAAAGTTGGCACTTTGAGGAGGCGCTGCATAAGAACCTTGTTGCCGCATTTACTGATTTTGGCAGGATCTCCTAGCATTAAAAATGGCCAGAATTCAGGATTCCCCCTTTATAGACTTATAAGGCTATATTATAGGCTTTGGATAAAGCTGTGTGAATGTATGCATACAGTAAGTGCACATGAAAGGGTGGGACCCTGTAAGGGGATGGAGCCACCTGAAAAAAGGAATCTGAGAAGAGGGTATATTAATAGAAGGAAAGTACCGCAACCACAGGCCTGGGAGAAGAAGCACACAGCAAACAAGGTAGGTGCTGAGGTCTATAGCATTATATTATTTTTTCCCTTCAGGGTGTATCAACACTTTATTAGGTGTCTAATGCGCAGTTCTGAATAGTAGAGGCACTGAAAGTGACAGCATTACTTCCATTAATTGCAGTGCCATCATGACAGCCAATAAGAACTGTTACCCAAATTGGCACCAAGATTCTGTGCCTGATAGATCAAGAATGGTGACTGCAAAGTGATTGCATAATGTCCATTGATTTTAGATAAGGATTTTAAAAAATGAGCCTTGACTTCCTCTGTAAAGTGGCCATGTATTGATATATGGCATACACAAAGCCACAAAAGATTTTTTTTCAAGCACCAAATAAAGCATTTGACTCATTGCCAATGGGATGACATCATTTGATCAGCTAGAAAATTAGATTTGAATTACCCAAGTGCATCAGTATATCCATCTCAACAAACCTCTACATCACTTTCAGACGGTACAGCTGTCTCTCCAGTGATTAGTATCACAGATGCTATTTAGAGTACCAAAACACACTGGTGTATAAGTTACATCTGTGCAAGGCATGATGGAGATGACTAACTAGGGCTATGCATACATTATAAATAGTCTGGCTCAGAGTGGCTACCTATGAGGAAGTATAATGCATCTACAAACTAAACCAAAGGGAAATGGCAGTAACTCCATGTATGTTTCTAGCCACATGCATAAGGCAAATACATGAATTTGAAATATTTAGGTTGTGCAGGGAAAATATCATAGCAATAACACTACTTTCTTTCTTATATATTTGTGAAAAATGTTGGCCCTGATATAGGGAGTGAAGAAAATGGGTGTCTATGCCCACAAAAACTAAACACAGTTTGTTGGGCTTACTTTACCAGGAGTGCATGGACAGCCGTGTTCCTTACAAAATTACACCTGCCCATCGTCCTCACTAGACATGTGCACCAGTAAAAAATGTCTTTAGTTTCGTTTCGTTTTGATTCGGATTTTGCATATTTGGTTTTTCGGATTCGGTTCCGCAATTGAATTCGTTACGGGATTCGGAATCGGACGAAATTCGTTAGCAGTAGTCGTTTTTCGGATTCGGGTCCGCAATTGATTCGGATTTGGACGAAATTCATTAGCGGTAGTCCGGTCGAAATTTTATTGGACGAAATTACGTTGGCAGCAAAGTGACATTAGAATTTTTTTTTTTTTTACAGTCTGCAGAAGATGAAAAAAAAAAGCGTGAGGTTCCCCCCCCAATTCATACCCTTTAGGTCTGGTAGGAATGTTAGGAGGGACCCCCCCCCCCCCCAAGTAAAAAAAAAGTGCTTGGGGTTCCCCCCAAAATCCCTACCAGACCCTTTAGGTCTGGTAGGAATTTTAAGGGGGAACCCCAACCCCCAAAAATGGGGGGAAAGAACCGTGGGGTCCCCCCTAACAGTCCTACCAGACCCTCGATCGAGCGCCCCCCTCCCTGCGCCTTACCAGGCCACGTGCCCTCTGCATTGGGAGGGTGTCCCCGTGCCGATGGGGACAAGGGCCTCTTCCTCACAACCCTGACCCGGTGGCTGTGGGGGTCTGCGGGCAAGGGGGCTTATTTGCATCAGGGCTACCATTTAAATAAGGAGGCACCCAGATGCCGCCCTCCCCCCTTGTGAACGAAATTTCATCCAATAAATTGGGTGATTTAAGAAAACTAGGTGTGGTATACAAACTGTTGGGAGGATTTTTTGGTGGATTTTAATAAATGGAAACTGTAAGAGGAGAAATAATAAAAAAAAAATTAAAAAGCAGCTATGAACATCCAACTATCATTACTGATATAAGAAACCGCTGTCTTAGATGGCTTGTCCAAGAGATAATGATAGCACAATTTTTTTGCGAAATCCAGGAGAAAGAAGAAAGACTAAAGAGATGGATTTCAAGAGGACCTGGAAATGTAGGTTTATCTAAATCTTACCTTACCTTTACTGTATACCGGATGATCCTGTCAGTACCACACTTCCTGTCGTATGTGATAACGCTCACTCACTGTACTGTATCTAGGTGAACTAGCGGGTTCTGTGTGTAATGACAGAAGGCGTCCCTGGTTACCTGGTAACCAGGGACGCCTTCTGTCATTACACACAGAACCCGTCAGAGCTGCTGTGATTTTACAGAGGAGTATAGAGGAGCCGCGGTGTAATGACAGAAGGCGTCGCTGGTTACCAGTACACTGAGAACCCTTCGGAGCTGCTGTAAAATCACAGCAGCTCCAACGGGTTCTCAGTGTGTAATGACACATGGGTATCCCTAGTTACCAGGTAACCAGGGGCGCCCATGTGTCATTACGACGAGAGCTTAGGAGAGCTGGTAGTGATATGAAAGCCGACTCTGCTAAGCTCTCATCTTAATGACAGAACAGCAGCTGCTGGTTACTGGGTATATCATATCCCCGCCAGCTCTGACAAGCTCTGACAGCAGGTCCAGGCCAATAGAAAACAGTTGGGCAGAGCTAGTTGTCACTGCTGGCTCCGTCCAATCGTTTTCTATTTTTGTTTTTTCTACTTTTTTAACTGTTTTTCTATTCTGCTCAGTACCACAGAGGTACCGAGCAGAATAGCCGAGTCGACTACCGCTCAGCAGCATTCGGCTATTCACTCACTGCTGTTCGGCATCTATGAGAATAGGCCGAACAGCAGCGAGTAGCCTGCCAGAGGTTCGGCTCAGCTGATCCAGATGTTGGATCGGCCGAGTCGAACTCCTTCTGCACTTCGGGTCGGCCGAACATGCTCAGCATGTTTGGCCGACCCGAAGCCACCCGATGTACGGCTGATTTCAGTGTTCGGCTCACTTCACTTCGGGTCGGTTGTTCACTCGGCTACCTACGGCAGCTTTGTAAATAGACCCCCTAGTTTAATTGTTGTGTTGAACACTCCATGTTTCAAAAATTTACAACAGAACCAGACTAAAATTTCACCAGCCATATCATAAAGTTCTGAACACTAGTAACCCCGCAAAAAATTTGTTTAGTTTAGTTGCGGATTGATTCTAATTTTAATTTCTTTACTTTTTCAAATTTCAGATCCGAAACTTGATTTGTTTCGCTATTCGGATTTCATATCCACCCAAATTTTTGTTTCCGAACGATCCACAACAGGGAGTCACATGACCATGCCTGTAATGCAACCCCCAAGAGTTAAATAAAATCTGATTGGCCAGAGAACAGTCACATGTCCAATTTAGTTTAATTTTGAACGTAATGTAAACGAATTTACGTTAAACGAACATTCAGATTAATTTGCATTCGGGCATGTTCGAATTTGGAAATCAGATGCATTCGAAAGACCGAATTTAACAAAATTTTTACAAATATCCATTGAGAATTAAATGAAATTTACGTCTACAAAACACTGATAATCCCAAAATAACAATGAAGACACTTGGTTGATATTATGAACGGTATGCATCTTTACACTTTGCTTGTTTGAAACTGATAGATGTGGCAAGTGTGTGCTTACAACACAGTAAAGTGCTAAATAGTAACTGCACTAGCAAACTACCACTAGACCTTTCAATTAGATATACTAGCCCAACCCTGATGTTTAAAAAATAATTCATGTTTAGAAACCTGGCAGTTGCCAAATATGCTTTAAGACCTGTGTCTTAAAGCTACCGCCGCACTGCAAGGCTTAAGTGTTCATTTGTGTCTAATGAGAAAAATAACAAAGACATACTCACCCAAAGCTCTGAGCTGGCCGCCTGTCACATCGCTCCTTCCAGCCTGTTTCCTCCTCCTCCCGAACATTGGAATCTTCCTCGGTGTCCTCACGTCCATACACAGTGTATAGATGTGATGATTTACAGGAACTTAGACTAATGCAAAGGAGGGGGGGGCACAAGAAGTACCGGTCTAAGCAGAAGCCGACTCGGAGCATTAGTGAGTATAACTTTTTTTACCTAAACACAAAGGAGCACTTAACCTTTGCAGTGCGGGGGTAGTTCCACTGCAAGGGTTAACAAAAATTCTTCTTTAAAAACATGCTGCATTTGACCATTGAAGCCCATTGGCATAGGCCCTTAGGGAGATTAGATCATGCCTGCACATACAACTATACTATAATGTCTATAGCCATCGTACAGAAGATTGTATTACATCCTTTTTGCTTTTACATATTATGTTTGTATGTGTCTATATAGATTAAAATATCTCATCTCTAAAATTTTATTTTTAAAACAGAAAAAAAAACATTTTTCAATTTAATGTAGGCACAGCAATATCTGAAACATTCTATCCAATTTCTAGCTTCCTTTGACATCATCAGTGTCTACAGCAAAAAAATCTAGTGGTTCAGCTCATTGTTATTTTAAGCTTAAGTAAGTCCTGCTTTTTCCTGTGACTCACAGGATGGAAACATAAGATATTCTGAAATATTTTATTACTTGCTTTAAGTATCTTTCCGACTAAACAATAAATTCATAAAGGCCATGAAAGACAAATTTGTTTAGGAGCTTTTTGATAGGTTGAGCTTTTGTTACCACATACACAAGAGGTTCATGCAATGCTAAATTTGCATGTGTATTTTAGTCCTTTTTAGAGGAGTAATGCATATAATAATAGCTGAACCTTTAAATTAGTTACTGATTTACTACTAGTGAATGTTTGGTGAAAGTCACATTCCCTGCTTTATAAATATGTCCCCAAGGATGTCCCAGGTATGATTTAAACCAGAAAGCTGTTTTTTATTAGCCATTTCTGTTCATATTCATACATTCAAATAGTTAATGAAAGCATACATGCCTATGACCACACATATTTTTTTGATTTAGTAGAAGAATTAGGAAACATCAGTAGATTTAATTTGAGAGTTTAGATGCGTTTCAGTGAAAGTTTGGCTTCTTTTATTTAAAGGAGAACTATGGGGTCAGTGTTTTTCCCCATAGTTCTCCTTGGGGTAATGGGAGGACACAAACTAGCGTCCTCCCGTCACCCTAAGCTCAGTATACCGCGAGCTACAGCTCGCGGTATACTGAGACGCCGCACCTGGAGCGGATCCCGACTTAGATGACGGGATCCGCCCAGCTGCGTGAGTGACAGCTGGCTCTGCCTATCTAGAGGCAGAGCCAGCTGTACCCGCCCCCTCCCCCGTCCGTTCCGCCATTCAGCGCTGGCAGATCGGAGCGGGGAGAGGGGAATCCAGCCCCTCCCCCTGTCACGGCAGAGAGCCATGACAGGATCGAGAGGTGAGGGAACCCGGTATGTGTTCCCTCACCTCCCGATCTACTGAGCCGACCTGTGACAGTCTCATTGTCACAGGTCTGCTTAGAACTATGACGTGAGTGGAAAACACTCATGTCATAGTTCTCCTTTAAATGCGAATAGAATTTCTAGTTGCCCTGATCTTTTATTTAGCTTATCTGAATAAATGAATTCAAATGTTTCAATCAGGTTAAATATAAAATGGGAGTTTAAAGATATTTTGTTTGGAGACAATGAGGAAAACAGTTGGACTTTTGAAGAATTAATGGATCAGAGCTGCGAGACCAAACCATGCAAACAACCATGCTATTAGAACTTTACAGTCTCTAATTTAAGTTAAATAATTATTCACTGAGAGGGTAGATGGATGTTTTTTCAGATACTTGTTTCTTCTGTACTATACATATGTGCTATTATATTCTTCATATTTTCCTTCTTTTTGCAATTTGCATTTGTTTAAATGCTATTATAGGAACCTGGATTAAAACATTTCCTAGCACTACACAACTGTGGCTTCCCTGGAAAATATCATAGAGAAAGGGGAATTCACAAACGACATAAATATTTGCTTTAATTTTTTTAATTTTTTTATATTAATACATTAACAACTCATTGTGATTAAACCACCAGTGTTCTATTGTTATTCATCCCTTAGCAACCCATACCTGTGGGGACCCTTAAAAGCTTATAAAAGACCTGCCCAGCCTGTCTAAAGCTTGAAATTGAGGCAAATGTGTGGTAGGATCAGAACTCCAAGACAGTGAGGCTTTTCAGGAAGAGTTTGTTCAACGTTTGTCAGGTGTACACAGTGTACATCTTAGTGGAGTGGGGACAGATAAGCATGTAGCTTGTCAAAGAGTGTATTGGGCCCCATTCATGGTAAGATATCTCTCTCTCTCTCTCTCTCTCTCTCTCTCTCTCTCTCTCTCTCTCTCTCTCTCTCTCTCTAAATCCATTGTAATCAATCATAATTGCCTTGCAACAGTAAGCTAATGTCAGATTGGTAGCTATGAATTACTGCAATTTGTACATTATCATTCCTTTTTCACTGCCTTATTAAAAATAGTTCAATAGCATATTATATACCCTGCTTAGAAAATTAAGTGGCTCATAACAAGTCGTGTTCTTGATCAGCTGGCTTGACTGTCAAGAAGAAAAGAGAACAACAGTTTTACTGCCTAGAGACAAGGAGCCAGCAGTCAACTCTCTGACACTTTGGTGACTAGGATTTGATTTCAATGACATGCTTCCCCAAGCCATTTTATGGAGCCTTTTCAGCGGCCATAAATCTTTGTGGCCAAACAATTCCCTATACCTTAAATATAATAACTACATCTATATTTAATTTAATGTACAGGAGACTGTATTTGTTTTATACCCTCCTGAATTTTGCTGGTCTAATACAGTACTTTTGAATTAAGCTCTGCCCACATATTAGCATACTTCTACTGCATATTAGGTTTCAAACTATTGGTGGTAGCATAACTTGTACTGAAAACGTAAAGTGAACCTGATAGGATAAAGAAATGTGAGCTGACACTGCTGATATTTTTTAAAGTTGGCATCCTAATCCTGGCTTTGCTACCTAGTTAGTCACTGAAACATAACAAAAAGGTTTGGTCTAGAGTTGTGCTGGATCTGAGGAATTTCAGAGGTTCTGATGATGTTGAGAAGTGCAGCATTGTCAATATAACAGTTAGGCTGCTTCCAAACCAGTGTCTCCCTCTGGCCACTGAAGGACCTGGAGTGAAAACTTCAGGTGATAAATTAAAGGAGCACCAAAAAGATTAATCTATGAAGTGGTTAGCTGCAAATGATTGACTTTTACTATCAGTTAAAATCCAACATGCTTCAGAGGTAGTGTTCAGTGCTTGAATGTGCAGCAGAGTGGCTGATGCAGAGGAAAGTGTAATTGCAAGTAATTGACTTTTATTATCAGTTGTAATCCAACAAATAATTATTTTTTTCTTGGACGTGCTGGAGAGTGCCTGACTCAGAGGAAAGTGTTGCTGCTATGTACTTGCAGTACATGTCTGTGTTTCTGCTAGTAACGTCTTAATCTAGTGGACTAAGAAGACAACAATCAATTGCACAATTTCTATATTAACTCATTTAATATTGATGCTGTGCACTGGAATGCTGGCTCCACATTTTACTACTGAAAGTTTGCTAGCAGCTACATGTTCCTCTGTTAAATCAGACACTCTCTTGCATGTCCAAGTCCTGAAGAAGGGAGATTCAAATGTGATGGCTTTCACCCAAATGTGATGGCTTTTACCTAAAAATACACCTGATCACCTCATCGATTAATATTTTTGGCCCTCCTTTTCTTCTTCACCTCACTTAAATAAGCAAGCAAAATCAGAAGCCCCCATATTTCTATCCTCTATAGATCCTCTATCTTTCTATAAATTTCCTTTATGGTTTTCCTATTTCTTCACATATATTCTCTTGATGAAAATCTGATACTGACTAAAATATGGAACAAAGCTGTAAAGAGTAATGTTTTTACTTTCATGTGTATAGATCAAAAAAACTGTTTTACTCACCTGGACCAATTCCTACTTTTATGATGTCAGCACCTGAAAGTATTAACTCTTCTACCATTTCTCCTGTAACCACATTACCAGCCTAGAAGTAATGTACAGACTATAAAAATTAATGGGAATATAATAGCAATATAATACAACTATACAACTCTTTCTATAACTGTTATTTAAGTTACTATCGAAATACGCCTAGCTCCATCCAAAACCTTTTAAGTTTCAGATAAGAAAGGTAAGGGTAATACCTCTGTCAAACGTTTCTGATTTTTATTTCCCCATTTAGAAAATTTCTTCTCATTTTCTGTCCTCTTTGACAGCTGTCTGAAAGAGCTGACAGTAAGAGAAAATCTCCCCATTTTCTGTCTTTCTGATAGGTGTGAGAAATAAAAGACAGCGAGGGGACATCTTCCAGTGGAGACACAGGCAGCATTATAAACAAAGTTTCTAGTATAGTGAGGAAGGTTTAGAACCTCAGGCATTATTGTTGTCTGTGTCCTTATTGAGGATATTTCCCTCACTTCCTGTCCACAGCACAAGTGTCAGAGAAACAGGAAGAGAATAAAAACCTCTAATAAGAAGACACATAGCATTTAAAACCTAATAAAGGTTCTAACCCCAGTCCAAAGTATAAAGAAGTCTAGCATTTGGGAAATAACCTGTTAACAAAATCGAGAGCATGGGAAACTTTAAAAGCATGATAATCAGCGATAGTGCTGACAGAAGAATGTACACTGCCTGGTCATAAAAAAAGTCCCGCACTCAATGTTTCGTTGGACTGCCTTTAGCTTTCATTATGACATGCATTTGCCATGGCATTTATTTCCATGCAGAGTTGCATACATTTTTCACCAAGATCTTGTAATGATGATGGGAGAGTTGGACTACTGCGTAAAGTCTTCTCCAGCACATCCCAAAAATTCTCAACGGGTTAAAGGAGGTGAGTGCTTTTCACTCACCTCATAGTTCCAGCCGACCTGTGACAATGAGACTGTCACAGGTCGGCTCAGTAGATCAGGAAGTGAGCGAACACATACCGGCGTTCGCTCACTTCTCGATCCTGTCATGGCAGAGAGCCGTGACAGGGGAGGGGCTGGATTCCCCCCTAACCGCACCGATCCTCCACGGCTGTCTGGCGGAACGGATGGGGGAGGAGGCGGGTACAGGTGGCTCTGCCTCTAGATAGGCAGAGCCAGCTGTCACTCACGCAGCTGGGCGGATCCAGACATAATTGTCGGGATCCGCCTCAGCTGCGGCGTCTCAGTATACCGCGAGCTGTAGCTTGCGGTATACTGAGCTTAGGGTGACGGGAGGATGCTAGTTTGTGTCCTCCCGTTACCCTAAGGAGAACTATGGGGAAAATCCCTAACCTCATAATTCTCCTTTAAGATCTAGCCAATCCATGTGTGAAAATGATGTCTCTTGCTCCCTGAACCACTGTTTCACAATTTGAGCCCAATCTATCCTGGCATTGTCGTATTGGAATATGCCTGTGCCATCAGGGAAATAAAAATCCATTGATGGAAAAACCGGGTCATACAGTATATTCAGGTATGCAGTTTACCAGATTTTTTAGGGACATAGTTACATAGTTACATAGTATTTGGGATTGAATAAAGACATACGTCCATCAAGTCCAACCCATATAGGTCCATGCATCATCTCTTAGGGATACTGGTATGCCTGGATATTACGGTCCCTCAAGAAATTGTCCAAACGTTTCTTGAACAAATCTACACTCTTGGCTGAAATCACTGCCAATGGCAGTGAGTTCCAGACCTTAACCGCTCTTACTGTAAAGAACCCTCTTCGCCCATTGTGCTGGAATTTTTTCTCCACCAACATAACATTGCCGAACCTAGTAATTATCCAAAGGAAGGCTCTTACGTATTTGCTTAGCTAAACCCAGGTGGTAACTTTTTTGTGGCCAGGCAGTGTATATTCTGTAAATCTGGAAAACATTTTTACTGCTGCTCATAGCCTGGGCTGGACTTGATTTCCAACATTTATGAAAATAGTTGCTGATCTGCCATTAGTTTTAACACAATGACATTCCTTATGGGCACACAAAAGCAGAATAGTTTTTAAACTGTCATCCCTGCCATGCTGTGTCTCAAACAAAACTACCCTTCTATGAAATGAAGGGAATTTAAAAATGAACTGTTAAAACAGCGTTCCACAAGACTGAAAGACAAGATAAAGCAGTGGCCTTCCCCATAATTAATAATCAGATTCCACCTGCCATTTGATAGTTTAGGTCTGGAAATAAAAATAATAACTTTAGTGGTTACTATAAGAAACACCCCATGTTTATAAAATACCGCATTTAGGGGAAGCAAACATATTATTTTACATTAAAAAATGATATAGGCAATGTCTCTTTAAGCTAATAAATACATCTGAAGTAACCAGAGCTTTGTATCTAAAGATGGCAGACTGGTATTTATCTCCACTCTGTGAAAACCTCAAATTCTTTGGCATATAGCCAGTTCAGCAATATTCCTGTTACATTACTGAAACCCATTTAGCATTTCCCAAAATTAAATTGTACAAAAGCTTTTTACTAACAAGTGCTCATAGTTTATAGTGAGCTGTTTTTGTAATGCATCTCCATTCTAGCCACACTTGTATTGCTATCAACAGTAAATTGCTTCCATTACCATGTAACATTGGCTAACATCTACACATCAACACATGTCCTAACAAATTCCATAAAATCCGAGTTATGACAGTGATATATACAACATAATACATTTCAAAACTCTTAAAAGAAAGTCTGAATAGAGGGCCTTCCAATAGGACACCCGTTGCTTACATTCTTTACAGAGGGCTTGACACCTGGTAAACTTTAGAAGAGGCAGGCTTACTGTACATTAGGAAACAGTTAGCACTTAGCTACAGATTGCAAACAGACCAACATTTTATTAAAAGTGCTAAAAAGTCCTCCCAAAACACAATTTTGACAGAGATCCCAATCAAAAACATTTTAAAACATTTAAGAAAAATTTGAACCAATGTTTGCAATGTTACATTGTTCACCCATGCCATGATGCAAAAACACATAAAAATGCACCACCACATATTATATAATGTGCTTAAAAAGTAAAATATAAATGACATTTCTAAAGAACAGCAGCGTAAATGAGCCATTACTAGTAAAATGTAAAAGTGTTAATTGTGCAGTAGTGCTGGGACTCGAGTTGAACTGACTTATCATTGAATTCTGCATTATTCTCTACACCCTGGACCTGAATATGAAAGGTGAACCGGCAGTTTTGCCGTTTTTCAGGTCTTGATATGTAGCAGCTTAACCTTATCACTAGGGTTGATTGACTCATTTATATTAAAAGGAGTAGGGTATGCTCATTTTGTAGAGTGAATGATCACTTAGCTTAGTGAATAAGGTGAAGCTGTGTTAAGTTCAATCATCCTATAATGTGCAAGCATAAAATAAGATATTTGTACCATAAAATCTTTTTCTACCAGCCCATTGGGGGATACATGAATTCAGGAATTCTAAAACAGTCGTGTTATACTGCTGCCTACAGGAGATTGGAACACTGGCAAACAAAAAAAGTTAAAGATAGCCCCAGTCTAGCCCTGCCTTTATGAGCAAGCAGTAAATAGTTCCAATTGAACGGTTAGGGTAGGGCCTTTGTCCCTTAATAGACTCGAAGGAATAGATTTCTGCTAAGTACAAAAATCTTATCTTCTTTATTTTTCATTGAGGAACACAAAAATTATCAACAGTTGGGACATCCAAAAGTAGTCCAACTAAAGGATGGGCAACAGCCACAGTGAGGTCCAACAGATGTGAAGATCATTGTACAAGAATATTTAAGATTCAAGGCTAATCAAGGCTAAATTAAGAAAAGGGTCAGGCAAAACAGGGTAAAAGCCTTGACCAAGGGGAGGGCACTTATGATAAACCTGATGCTCAAAAGCAGAACTGATAATCATGATCTGAAGGATTGATGAGCCTTAAACAACAAAGACTGGAGGACCAACTTACCATTCACCAATCAACAGGTGGAAAAAAACACACTGCTCAAAAGGAAGAAAACTAGACCAACATCCAACATAGTCAACTAGAAACAAGTATACAGGGCCAAGGCCTAGAAAAAAAAATCCCTAAGGTAAGGTTGTATCAGTGGCAACACAAGGGGGGTGCGGCCCACACCCGGGTGTCACCATCGCAGGGGTGACACCAAAATGACTGACAGTCAATTTGGTGTCACCCCCCTCTAAAAAGTCGGGCACTTGGTCATGGACTGAGAGCCCGACAGCTGCATGAGAGAGGAGGGGACGCGGCGGCATGCCTCATCCCGCCAGGTGAACGCCCCGTCCTCTCTCTGCTGGCATCCATCACCAAGATGGCCCCCGGCAGGCATCAATCAGGTGGTCGCGCATGCGCGAGGTGACGACACTGCGGGCTGTCACCCGGTCTAGAGACCGGGTGACACCTGACCTCGGGACGCCCCTGGGTTGGATAGACATACCATGTCCAAATGGAGGGTTAGCCGGTCAACAGCAGAAGACTTAAAGAAGGCTTAAAGAAGAACTTCAGAAAAAAATTGTATTAACCTTTGCAGTGGGGCTACTCCCACACTGCAAGGGTTAAGTGCTTGTTTTTGTCCAGGTGCTAACAATAAAAAGTTATACTCACTAGACCACCCAAGCAGATTCTCTGCTTCTGTGATCACACAGATAGACTGCTCCTCTGTATCCTCACATCTATAGACAGTCTATGCACAGTATATAGAGCATGATGACACCAGGATCCTTAGACCACTGCAGCAGAGGAGGAGAGACGTTCTAGACACCGATCTAAGAACAAGCTGGCTCATATGGTCTGGTGAGTATAACTTTTTTTTTTTAGCACCTAGACACAAACAAGCACGGGGGTAGCCCCACTGCCAGGGTTAATATTTTTTTTTCCTGGCGTTATTCTTTAAGATTAGCATTCCTAACTCTTGACTTCAGGGAAAGAAAATTTTGACAAACATAACAAGAACAGGGACCAGATTGTCCACATGTTCCTTCAGGCTGAATGGTGGTTAAATGAGTATAAAGCACGTATGAGCAACACAGCAACTAATGGATGACATCAGCATTCAGTTCACTCAGCCTTAACCCTTACCGTGGTAAAATCAAAAACGATGTGAAATTTGAAAAGAGTGCCCAACAAGGTGAGATGCTTCAGCCTTCAGAGACAGGGCTACACCAGAGGCTGTGCCATGGCTGTGGACCCAGAAAATGTTCTGTGGCTAACTGATGCAGTACACGAAAGTCTGAAACCACCAAAATGTAGAGCCCAGTGCCCAAAGGCCACATTCTGGGCTAGCCCTGAATACTATGACATGTAACAGATGTGCTCAGTGATTGATAGTAATATACGTTTACAACATCTAACCTGTCAGATCATCAGATTTTTCAGACTTCAGACAAAAAAGAGAGTCTAGGTCTAAGTAGATAAAGTGCGTGATTTTGTGTAGAGTAACTCTAAGAAATACAGGCACAACTTACCATAATCGTGTGTTTTGGAAATTTGGCATGGACAGTCTTCACAAACTCTACAAAGTGTTCTGAATATCCATTGGCTACATCCAGGCAAATGTATCTGATAAGAGGAATGGCTTCTAGGATGCTGCTTAATTTCTCCAGGTCTGCTTGACTACTACCAGAGCTGGCTGCTACATTCTGCAACAGAACCACATTGAAACAATAAACAAAAGGAGAAAAAGAACAGAGAAAAATAGCACACTAGATCCAGCAGATAAAGCTAGTATCATAAATAATGCATCATATAACTATGCAGCTGCACAGGGAGGAAAAATGTACTGTGTACTGTATGGTATATCTTTACTATTCACATAACTAACTGTAATAGTTGTCTGTAAAAATATACAAGGGTAAACACAGTTGGAAATGCAACAGCATAGTCTAATGTACTGTGATGTGTCTTTTGTGCTGTAGATGGCAATGTAGTCCAATGTTACTCTCTATATGCATGTTTATCAATGTTACACAGGAAAGTTTATCTGTATGCTGTATAATGCTGTATTCTTATGTAATGTTCTCCTAAGCAAGTAAAACTTAGTTCAGCATTCCTCAAGATCTCAGTGCTTCATCTAAACACATAGAAGTGATATAGAGTGGCCTATGAATGAAATGCAATACAACACATCAGTCATGCTGGCGTACTGAATGCCTGGGTCAGAAAGTGAAGTACTTTCATACTAAGTTGTTAGTTCATACCGAATCACTATACAAATTAAAGTAGTACTAATATTTTTTTAACATCAACATATCAGTATTGATTAGTCTTGCACAATAAGGTAATTTCTTTCTTTCTACATATATCATAAAAACATACTTTTTTTTACATGCATCTAAGAGCCCACACTCATAACATCAGTCCCATTCATCAGATTGAATTCACCAGGACTACATGTCTCATCATGCTGAGCGGCAACATGTATTGCTGATGTGAGGATGCTGCCTCTTCCCAGTAGTCCTCCCCAGGAACACAAACTTAAGTGTGGCCCCAATAGGGCTCAATAGGACCCTGCAAAGGAAAGAAACCACCCTATAAAAATAAAGTGAGGGCAGTGCTCATGGGAACCAGCATAATCTGGATGAAAGGAAAACTTTAATACATGAACCAGTGGCATAATTTGTAAGTCTTTGTAAACATAACGAAGCTTGCTCACACTATATATGTTGGAGTACAGCTTAAAATAATTAGTAGGCCCATTAGAATCTGTTCTACCGGAGAAGTAGTGACAAACGGAATTATGATTAAGACAGGGCACTGTCTGTGTTTTAATTAAAAAAAAGTAAATAAATTGCTTTTTTAAGCATCGTTCAGAAATTCCAGGTTAACTAATATAAAAATAAACCTTGGAGGCGTGAAGTAGCATTCATATGATAGTAATGTCTTCCTACCAAACACTGGAAACACCAACAAAACAGTGGTTAAAGAACATCTTACTCACTGTTTATTTTATGCCCAGTATTTAGTATAACTATCAGCTGCACAGAGATCAGCGCCGCATATATCAGCAAAATTATAGAAATCTCACCAGCACACCAGTCCTTTTAGGATAGCAAAAGCTTAATTTATTGAAGTATTTTGTCATATGACCAACAAGCGCTTTCGGGACCACACAGGGTCCCTTCGTCAGGCTTTAGCATTGACTGTTTAGTGACTGTTTTTAAATTCAGGCAGTTTCCCGCATTCATGCGTCAAGCTGCATGCGCGGGCCTGGCAAGACGTTTAAATACGCCAGCTCAGATCTAGGAAGCTCTTGGCCAAACAATGTGGAGTACATTGAGATCAGTTATTTGATGTATGTGACATTAAAAAAGCAGGGAGGGAGGGAGGGAAAAGGCTATTATGAGTTAGGCTGGAGAAGATTAGGAGGGATGGGTATCTGTTAAAATGAGCCATGAGAATGTGGGAAAATGAGTGAGATGAGTCAGGATTCTACTTCTGGTTTTAATGTATGTAGTGCAAGTTGTTTCATGTAAATGCTTATAATAACAGCGCAATCTGTATAATTTCATAAAAATTATATAAAACCCACCATTTTATTTTTTACAGAAGTGGAGATACATCGCACTGTTTGGCCCCATATGCATGCAACTCCTAAAACTTTGACTGGTTATTAACGCTGCCATCAGTAATCACTGGCCCCTTACTACATGATGCCTCAGGCCTCTTACCCACTGCTACATGTCATTGTACTATAGCTGTTTTTATTTTTACATTTTTGAAAAGCTCAAAAATTACAAGCTTTGTGAATTCCAGTTATGTTACTTTCTATTACATGCATGTTAACTTAAGATAAATACATTCCTTTTTAAAATTTCAGTTGCCCTTCAGATACAAGATTCCTGAAAAAGAAGGTTTCCTAGTTCTGCTAAACTAACAGGGTTATTCACAAAAGGGTGAAGAGTTTGGAGAAGGCAGGAGAAGTGAACAATCTAGGACAACATAGCTGAACTGGAAAGTGAGCTGAATGGGAGAATTTTTCTAAATCAGCTATGTTGTCCTAGATTGTTCTCTTCTCCTGCCTTCTCCAAACCCTTCACCCTTTTGTGAATAACCCTGTTAATGTCTGATTACCTAATACATTGTCAGAATGAGACCTAGTAATGATTTATTTTGCTCGCGTAAAACTTCCCCTGTCAAGCTCATCTAGACTTCTGCTGACAACAACCTTTTCTGGGTGACAGTTGATGTAAATTCTTGATTGCTAGGCCCCATCCAGACAGATATGGGCCCAGTGATACAATGAATGCCTTGATGGTGGCCTTGGTGGTGGCTACCTTAGGCTATAAGCCTGCTCCTTTGTTACAGAAACCTTAGACAGATTTTAAAAAGACACTAAACCCAGGAATTAAATCTTAAAAATGCATTCAAGTACCTTAACTCCTTCGTGACGGGAGACGTACAGTGTAAAAAAATTAAAATAAAGTGTAAAACAAAATTAGGAAAATATAAATTATATATAAATACATTTTTTATACTATAATTAATATAAAAAAATAATAGTAATAATCAAAACTTGTGAAAAAAGTGTTTTCTTCTAGTTTTTTTCCTCATTTTTTTTATTTTATTCAAACTAAGTGAGGGGTTAGGTACACATATGTGATATAATTATATAGCCCTATCTGTCCTCTAAAAAACAATATATAATATGTGTGGGTACATTTAGTAAGAAAGTATATAACTGACGTGGAAGAACCACACAGCAAAAATGTAAAAAATGTGTCAGTCATTTATGAACAGAACCTGAAAACTAGCTCAGTCATGAAGGGGTTAACTATTAACAAAAATATAGCTTATTTATGTATTACTCAGCTGCAGATTCATAAATCATCGTGTTGACACAGTACTTTCTTCTGGCGGGTGGCTACTTTTGTCCCCTGTGGTTCCTGTGTGTGTTGTACAGTAGCCACCGCTCCAAACTCGCTCCCACCGTTTGATCGACATCTTGCTCTTTAGGTTGGCAAAGAAGCAACTAATGGAAGTAAGAGAGTATTTCTCCTACTCTGCTAACCCCTGTATAGCGATCCTATCGCTGGTGAGTTCTCATGACATGGCCCTTTAGAATATTTTCTGAATTTGGAAATGATCACTTGCACTGTAAACCAAACCAAATACAAGTGTGTGCTGGCATACTTAGTAGACTTAATTGAGCTAAGCAAATCCAACACAAAAAACTGTGAATTTCAAATAACAGTTACTCGTCGTGTGAAGTCAATGGCACCACAGCCACACCACACCACAAGTCAATGGCACCACAGCCATGCCCTCAGTGTGATCGCCCACACCCGGAACGCAGGCACATTAATGCCTGCGTTCAGTTCCAGCGCGATCTGCAAAAATATGCAAAAATGCAGCATTTTTGCAGATCGCACTTGACCTGAACGCAGGCACTGATGTGCCTGCATTCCTGGTGCGGCGATTGCACTGGGGGCGTGGCTGCGGTGCCATTGACTTCAATGCACTGCTATGCCCCCTCCCGCCCCTGAATGCAGGTGTTTTTTCGTTGGTAGATCTCATTGAGCTCGTCATTTGAAACGTAGATCTCCAGATGAAAAATTGTGGGCGCCCCTGTCCTAGATTGTTCACGTCTCCTGCCTTCTCCAAACTCTTCACCCTTTTGTGAATAACCCTGTTAGTATTTTTCTGAACTGTACTAGCAAAGTGACAGTCCAATAAAAATCCTATTTTATTTTGAATTATTTTTATCACAAAATAAACTTTAAAAAAAAAACCCAGATAAACATGGAGCATGAGTATAATTGTACCTCAAGACATTCAGGATAAGTGGAGGCAAATTTCTTCCAGTCTTCTAAAGAATAATGCTTGTGAACTGTAGTAAACAGTGTATGCTAGAAGACATATGGAGAAAGATTAGTAACTTATAGAGTGCACACAATGTTGTGATATCTATATATCAAGAAGTCAAATATACTAAAATATGTCACCTACTGCAAAGAAAATCAGACAGCTCAGAGAGAGGCACTAGCAATCCTCCTGAACAGTCACCTGAAATTCACCAGAGCAACCCAGAGCCTGTAACCAATGTGAGCAATTTAACAAAACACTCACTCTCCATACTTGCAGATTGGATGGTGAGTATTTATTTACATGAGTTTATTTTTAATATCATAATTTCTAGAGGCATCACAATTAATAGTGTACTTGCAATAAATTAAACAAATACAATTTTGCCTAGATTTCCAATTTTGTTCCCAGTGTTAATGATATTCAAATATAGAAGGGACATTTAGTGACCTTTTCACACTGTGTACAGGTTGTTTGTAAGAGCTGTAAAATATAATGCTGGTGTATGTACAGTACTACACAAACATTAGGATTGCTTGAGTTGGCTAAACAACCAAAACATATATGTAAAGCCATTTTTAGTCTCTATTCCATAAACTGAGGCGGCTCTCTAATTAGGCGAGTTAGGCGGTCGCCAAAGGCCTCGTGCTCACGAGGGCCTTGCGGCTGCCTAACTCGCCTGTGCAGGTTCTCCACACCCGACAACAGGCAGATCTAGCAAGGGGAGGGGGAAAGGGGGGGTGCGGGAAGGCTGTCGGCGCTCCATTCTCCCTCCAGAGGAACTTGCTGCTCCCTTCCACTGCCCAGGGACGGACTTACCCGAGGACCAGCGGCCTCCTCCTGGCGGAACTGCGAGGAGTCCTGGCATTCCGCCACTTGCTTCTTCTTTAACTGCAGAGAGAGCACGCTGGGGGATGGCGTGGACAGGTAGAGGCCCCGCTCCTGCCGCTGTCACTGCAGCAGTCAGCGGTGGCATCAGAATTGGAGGGCATGGAGGAACTAATACCGGAGGGTGAAGAAAGTCTGGAGAGTGTCACACTGGACCAGGCGCTCAGGTTAGTGAAGCACCCCTGTGTTACATTGAGTGCATGCTGAAAAAAACAAACGATCATATTCTTTTTTTCAAATACTTTAATCATGTTATTGTTTACGGCTGCTAAAGATTTTCTTTGTACAAAATCCAGCTGCCCAATACCCGTTAGCCCCATACTGTGCATTCCTTAATTCTGATCTCTGCGCTCGGTGCCTTCCTTCTGCGCACTGTGCATTCCCTAATTGTGACCTCTGTGCGTTCCCTAATTCTGACCTCTGCGCTCTATACGTTCCCTAATTCTGACTTTGGCTCTGTGCGTTCCTTAATTCTGACCTCTGCACTCGGTGCGTTCTTTCTGACCTCTGCGCGTTCCTTAATTGTGACCTCTGTGCGTTCTTTATATTGGACCTCTGCGCTTTGTGCGTTCCTTAATTCTGACCTCTGCACTCGGTGCGTTCTTTCTGACCTCTGCGCGTTCCTTAATTGTGACCTCTGTGCGTTCTTTATATTGGACCTCTGCGCTTTGTGCGTTCCTTAATTCTGACCTCTGCACTCGGTGCGTTCTTTCTGACCTCTGCGCGTTCCTTAATTGTGACCTCTGTGCGTTCTTTATATTGGACCTCTGCGCTTTGTGCGTTCCTTAATTCTGACCTCTGCGCATTGTGCGTTCCTTACTTCTGACCTCTACACTCGGTGCGTTCCTTCTGACCTCCGCGCTCTGTGCGTTCATTCCTTCTGTGCTCTGTACGTTCCTTCTGTGCGTTCCTTCTACACTCTGTGCGTTCCTAATTCTGACCTCTGCACAGTGTTCATTCCCTAATTCTTACCTCTGCGCTCTGTACGTTCCCTAATTCTGCTCTCTGTGCATTCCCTAATTCTGACTCTGTGCGTTCCCTAATTCTGCACTCTGTGCATTCCCTAATTCTGACCTCTGCGCTGTGTGCATTCCTTACTTTTGCGCTCTGCGTTCCTTCTGCGCTGTGTGCGTTCCTTACTTCTGCGCTGTGTGCGTTCCTTACTTCTGCGCTGTGTGCGTTCCTTACTTCTGCGCTCTGTGCTTTCCTTCTGCGCTCTGTGCGTTACTTGCTTCTGCCCTCTGTGCGTTCCTTACTTCTGCGCTCTGTGCGTTCCTTACTTCTGCGCTTTCTGCGTTCCTTACTTCTGACCTCTGCGCTGAGTGCGCTCCTAAGTTCTGACCTCTGCACTCAGTGCGTTCCTTCTGACCACTGCGCTCTGTGCGTTCCTTAATTGTGACCTCTGTGCGTTCTTTATATTGGACCTCTACGCTTTGTGCGTTCTTTAATTCTGACCTCTGACCTCTGTGTATTCCCAACTTCTGGCCTCTGCGCTCTATGCGTTCCTTAATTCTGACTTTGCTTTGTGCACTCCTTACTTCTGACCTCTGCACTTGGTGCGTTCCTTCTGACCTTTGCGCTCTGTGTGTTCCTTAATTGTGACCTCTGTGCGTTCTTTATATGAGACCTCTGCGCTCTGTGCACTCTTTATATCAGACCTCTGCGCTCTGTGCGTTCTTTATATCAGACCTCTGCGCTTTGTGCGTTCCTTAATTCTGACCTCTGTGCGCTGTGTTCCTACTTCTGACATCTGTGCATTCCCTACTTCTGGCCTCTGTGCTCTGTGCGTTCCTTCTGACCTCTGCAATCTGCGTTTCTTCTGACCTCTACACTCTGTGCTCTGTGTGTTACGTACTAGTGACCTCTGCATTCTGTGTATTACTTCCTTAGGGTCAGGGTTTTGCATATAGTTATTTGTAGAATTAGATAAGAGACAGAAATAAAATTCTAGCTCTAGGAGCTGTAAATTCCTGGCTGCTGGGATTAAACACTTGTCTTAAACTGTGCAATTTATACAGTTGATTCCTAATTATTGTTTGCATTTTCTTTCATTATGGTTGTGAGTGGGGGCCTCATGTTTGAGTTTCGCCTAAGGCTTCACAAAGTCTAGAGCCGCCTCTGCATAAACAGATGACTGATGCTGACCTTGCTCAATGTTCTGGCCATCTCAAATGTTCCCACAGTGTCCATATTGGCTGCAATTATTGGGATCCCAGTATATGTTTGCTTGGAGTTTCTGAATGTGAATGTTCGTACCAAATCCACCTGTAAAAAAATAAAAAACATAATTAATTAATGCCCAGCAGTGCCAGTTTTGAGATGTCACTCAGACAGAGCCACGTCCAGAGTCGCAGCATGTGGAGCCTTTTCCTCTCTCAGGTTTGTTTCTACTGATCAGTACCAATGACCTATTTAGCTCCCACTGAAGCACTTCACCTCTGACAACCAGTGCAAAGAGGCACTTTACAACTGACCACCAACGCAAGGAGGCATTTCACCAATGAGCTACAATGTAAAGAGCAATTCTCCACTGGCCAGGGTCCACTTCAGCACTGACTGCCCCTGTAAGGGAGTACTACACTGACAATCAATATAAGGGACACTTCTTCACTGAATAGCAATGCAAGGGGACAGTTCACTGGCCACTCTACTCTTGGCAAATGCTACCTGTGAGCTGTGCTGCTTGTTACATTTTCCTGAGCAGTGCACTCTGTAAGCTGTGCTGTACATTATATACTCCTTACAAAAGTTCCGTTGCTGGTTCGTAAATAGTCCTCTCTTTTTAAAAAGTTCTTCTTTAAGGTTATTCTAGTAACGTTTTAGCTCTTTTACTATATTCAGTGTGCCGGTGTTCTATCAAAGTTTGTGACTGCGTTAGAATGTGTGACCGGTGACGTGGTCACACATTTTAACCTAATCCCGCCCAGTTTTTCGGCTGTGGAATATGTGACCAGCCACATGGTCACACATTTTAATGTAATCACACCCACTTTTTCAGCGGTGGAATATGTGCCCCTACCCAGAAGTAGAAAGTACGGCATTGACACAAATGTGATTGTATGGGAAGGCAATGCAAGAGCAGGCAAATGCCTGTTTACTAAGACTGCATCAAAAATAATAGAATGTGTCTTGTGAACTGACACTGTGTAAAGATGCTTAGAATCGAACAGTATGTAAAACTTGAATCCCTTGGGGTTCTTAAACCAAAACCCCTAATATATATGTATTATATTAGGGGTTTTGGTTTAGGAACCCCAAGAGATCCATATATTTCTAGGTTAAAGTGAGTTCATAAGTCATAATGTATACTATAATCTGTCTAAACAGTTCTGATTTAGTACATGTACCACTCAAAATCTTATAGAGACCAGACCACCAAACAAATTGTTATAGTACAAACCACCAAACAAGCAGCTTGCTGACTCCATCCAAATGATATGGGAAAGTCAAGTTTGCCCATTTTTGTAGGTCTGCTTTAATCATAACTGGGTTATGGAGGGGCCATCCCTGAGATTTTCAGTGGAATGAATTATCTAGCAGGATTGAGCAGAGTCATCACCAGGAGGTCAATGTTCTCAAAATGGTGTTGTGCAATGACTTTCATTGGATCCAATACTCTCAACTCAATTTGAATCCTCGTTATAGCCATAATAAAGTAGAACTTTAACTTTTAAGTCGTTTTTGCTACCTTTTTTTAAAGGTTATTCAATAAAATTGATTGACTAGTGAACTACATTCTCAATTCTAACACTATACATTATTGCCACAAACTGGTTTATGAAACAGATAAGTGAACCATTATACATTTTGGCTATCCAAAGGATGCAGCCAAGACTGGTAGATTTTATGAGGTATTCCACTGGAAAAAATGTCCTCTTAAAATGGTGATTATGGCACTGGTGTTCCCATTATTACCTACAGCAGCGGTCGCCAACCTTTCGGACCCCATGGACCACTAAATGTAATCATTTTAAATTCCGCGGACCAATAATATGAATTTTAAAAAATATATATATTCTCATATTTTTTGTTTCCTCATATATAAATATATTCTCATATGTGTGTGTGTATTTATATATATATATATATGTACAGGGGTTGTATTTTTTTTAGTTCAATCTGAGTTTATTCAAGTTTAAGAGATATATATATATGTGTGTTTGTATCTATATATAGTCCATGTACTGACGAGATGCCCTGCCTCCTGCAGAGCCTGCACTGTACTGAGAGCCGTGCATTCCTTGTGACAGCCGCTGATTGAGTCAATGAGAGGCAGCCCCGGAGCCTCGTGCCGCTTCAATGATGGCCCAGCCTGACCACTGGTTGGCGATTGCTGATCTACAGTGCATATCAATGTGTATCTGGGGCTTGTGCAGGGATAGGCTGCTTCTCCTGTGTGATGCATTACTGAATAATGTATGACAAAACTCCTGGGTGTAGTATTAAGGAAAACAAGTTTCTTCTGATGTCCCACTGACTTCAATGCTTTCAAAGTCACTGAACCAGAACAAAAATACACATAGCGTAAGTCAATGACAGTTCATGTATTTGGTCCCTTTTAGCCTTTTAAATAAACTACTGAAAAGTTTTGGTATATCCATTTAATACATGCAAACAAATATCTGTTGATCCTGCCAGAAATGCTGTTAGCTGATAACTCCCTGTGCTCTTTTCCTCTATTGCACTGTTATTAGTTACATTGTTCCCAGTTATCTCTGTGGTCAGAGACTGGCAGGATAATAAGGGGAATAAAACCCCCCAGAAAAATAAGAAAGCAAATGCAGCCAGCACATCTAAGGACTGGTAAGCTGCAATGTATTATTTTATTTTCTTGGACTTAGGTATGCCTTAACATATCATGGCCAGATGATTAGCATTACAGCCATGCAACTAGTATTTTTCGAAGAGATCAGTAATTGCACCCACCATTATACTCTAATGATAGATCACGATAGCTGTAGTAGAGGCTATTAACTACACGCAAAAAAAAAAAAACATTACCCAGTGCTCAGCCCTGCTAAAGTGCCCCTGTTGCTATACCACAACAGAACAGTGTTTATACCGTACTTACCCCCACAACTTTCATTAGTTGAACCTGCTGACCTCCACATTATTACTGGAGAGAGTAGTGACATGGAGGTCACCAGGAAGAACATATGAGAGCTATGGGGGGACCCAGGAGATAGACATTCCCAGAAATGTTTCTCAAGATCAGAGCGGCATTCCAAAAGGGGGGTAGCAGGAAAGGTAGGTATCTACACTGTTCAGAAGATATATTTATGGCTGGGGACACCAAAGGAGGCCATGGCACCAGAATTAAGGCAAATTAGCAGCTGCTAAGGGGCGTGGGTTTAGTGTAGTCTAGCTTAGGGAGGAGGGAGAGTAGATTTAGCAGTAGTAATGTATCTGTCCTCTCGAGGTGCATCGACATGCAAGGACCAAACTCACATAAGGCAAATGAAGACCTTACAGGTGTGTACAACAAATAAATTAAATACTAAAAAAAGGAAAACTAAAAAACAACATCTACAAGTACTGTAGCTGCTGACTTTTCAGAAAAAAACATACTTACCAGCCTGTGTAGTCAAGCACTGTCTTCTACGCAGCCAATTCTTCTCAGGTCTTCTGCCCTTTCGCACCACCATATTGCATTTGGGAGCCAGTTCTAACTTCCTGATCACTTAGCTGCCCCCCTTCTGTGCATGTGTAAGATTAGAACTGCTGGGAGACCGGTCCTGAAGACTCCTGGGATGTGTGACATGGTCCCAGGAGGCTGTGGTCGGACTGGGTGCAGACTGAGGGGATGTCACCATGAGGAAGTGGAAGTAAGTACCACCAAAAAAGCACTCGCTTCCCATAAAAAAAAAAAAATGCCATTGTCTAAACGGCTGGAGAGGAGGATGGCAGTGAGTCAAAATCTTGGGTGAAGATCTTCTATAAGCACTCCATTAATTTATAACTCACATGAAAGGTGCCCAATGAGAGGGAGGCTATAATTATAAACAAATTACAAAGACCCTAATTCTATCATTTGCAATGCATTAGCACATTTATGGGAAAGTCACAAGGTACCTACTCTAACCTCTACTTCCAGTCTGTCTGTACCTATTATGCAGCTATGCTGTTTCCCTGTCCAAATGCTTCTTTAGACCTGATCAGTGCATGACCTGGAACAATATGAGAAGTGTTTGTGAATTGTGTCTTTACATCATGAGGTTGGTAATGTAGAAAGAGCCCAGGAACGCCTGCCCAATGTACTCTGGGTTCTGTGCCAACCATCAGGTCAGAGAAATTGCTCCCTATATGTACCCTGAAAGATGTCCTACATGGTACTGCAGTACAGATCCTGACAGGACTGCTGCACCATACCGTGGTACCTAAATGGTCAGAACCAGAACTCTAAAATACATCAGTCTGGTTTCCAATAATTACATTTCAGCAAGTCCCCAGTCTCAGACTACAAATGTATTATGTCCATAGACTGTCTTTGACCATCTCCTGCTGCATCTCTGCAGTCTCGGACACTACAATAAAATATACTAAATTTAACATGTGGCCCTTTGGTAATGTCAGGGGCTACAATTCAGATCCCCTTTACCTTGTAAGTGGACCCCTCGGTGATGTCAGGGGCTGCAATTCAGGAACCCTTATATCTCGCAAGTGGATCCCTTGGTGATGTCAGGGGCTGCAGTTTAGGTTTCTAATTTTTGTATGTGAACCCCTTGGTGATGTCAGGGGCTGCATTGCAGGTCCCCTTTACCTTGTAGGTGGACCCAAGGATGTCCATATAATGAGGCACCCTGAGGCAGTTGCCTCAGCTGGCAGGTGTGGCAGAGGGGCGGCGGAGGGCAGCCACAGCATCCCAGATTGCTAAGAGCTCTTAGTAATCTGTGTTGCTCTGTCTAGCTTCACGCCGAGCTCACTGACATCATTGCTTGCTAGAGAGCTAACCAGAATGCTCTAGCTGGCGTCCCGCCAAGCTCCTGGCAACCAGTGGCATCAGTGAGTTGGGCGGGACCAGACAGAGAGCCACTGACAGCCACGGCTTGTCACGCAGCCACCCGTCCCACCGCAGTTGCCCCCCC